GTCTGGATCCAATGTCACCAAGCTCTCTCTCTCTCTCTTTCTCTCATAGTCTGCTGATGCAGTGAAGTCAGATAATGAGAGGGTGAGAGGGAGATGGTGGACTGAGAAGAGGAAGAAGAAGAACTCTCTCTCTCTCACGAGCCAGGTACTAACCTGTGAAGTTGGCGCTGTGATGCAGGTACCTCGAAGACGAAGCTGGAGCAACGGCGCTGCAGGTGAGTATCCCTGACCTCCGCCCAATCTCTCTCTCTCTTGTACTACTCTAGCTATGGCGCCCAGCGCTGAAGACTACACCTAACGCTACTAGCGCCCAGCGCTGAAGACTAATGCTAACGCTACTACTACTCCTGCAGCCCTCCTCCAGAGTGCTGCTGCTGAATCCTGAAGACTACTGACTGCCTCCTGCCTACCCGTGAAGTGCATGGGAAGTCCCTATGTACTACCTCCGCCTGCCTCCTGACTGCCTCCGCCTGCCTCCTGACTGCCTCCGCCTGCCTGCAGTTGCAGGGTGGGCAGTCCAGGAGGCTGCTCTTGCCAATGCCAAACTAGGCCAGGGTCTGGCGCTGCAGCTCAATGCTGAGGCTGTCGTGGGAACAGGCCAAAAATAGCCCGTTCCTAAAACCCTGGTTTGGTGCCTGAGTTCCGGGGCAGGTCGGTCTGATGAGGGCCCGAAAATGGCCCTCAGTTTCAGGCTAAAAAGGCTCATGCCGTTTTTAGTCTGAAACGACACAGGGCCTGTAGGCCCCTGTTTCCAGCTTTACGAGCTGAACAGACACGGGGCCTGTAGGCCCTAAATTTCAGGCTTTCGGCCTGAAATTCAGGCTTTTAGCCTGCAGGACGCAGGGCCTGGAAAATGGCCCTCATGTGCAGGTGCAGCATGTAACACTTATCACACACAACTGTGAGTCCATCTTTCAGCATACTAGAGTAGAAGATATGAGCATCCCCGCGTAGTAGATATCCCCTCGCACGGGGGTAGTCTGCAAAATAGCAGGCTTCATAGGTTCACTCATGCAGGTCCCCGGTCTCAGAGGTAAGAAGATGAGACAGATGCGTGACATGGTTTCGTAAACGCCACTTTCAACTCTCATCATACTTTCATCAATCCTAATCGCAGAAGGGATGCCTCACAGGCCGGTTGGAGAAGGGCGTGGAGACGCGTGGTCCAGCTGGTGCCCCCCAGCGGCCCCATGGCGTCTCCTCGCCAAGGAGGCGGGACCCGGTCAGAAGCCTTCATATCCGAAGAGGGGAGGACTGTCATCAGCAACACCCTTCAGCACCCTGCTCAGTTAATCCTCTGGAAATCCAGAGTAATCAATGCTGGCAGGCTTTTTTTCAGATACTCTGTCAAGTTTTCCTTTTTCTGATTCATTTTGTTCCATTCTGTTACAGGGATTCTGGACCCGTTTTCCAGCAGGTGATGCTCTCCACCAATAGATGGAGTCTCTCCTCAAGGTGCTAGCGGCTGTCTCTTATACACATCTAGATGTGTATAAGAGACAGGTGCACGGTTTCTAAGGTCACATGCAAGGTTTTTCTGTTCTTTCATGTAAGCCTTTAAGTTCAAGGAACATCAGATTCCGAACTGATTGAAATATTGTCAAGTT